TCACTTGTTATATAATAAAGATATATGACTAGCTCTCAGAACAGATATCCTTTCTCAAATCATGTTTTAAAAGACATCCTGTTTCAGTTGTTTAAAATTAAAAATATCCTTGTGCTTGTTCAATTTTTGTTCTTACACATTCAACTATGTCCTTCATATTTGGCATTTTGATTTATTAGGCAATCTTAGCATTAAAGACTTTTAGCAAAGCAGTACTAGAATTCAAATGCACCGTGCATGGTGTCCGTGATGAATTAATTCCACTAGAGCACAGAAGTTACCATTATTTAAATGCTAGTTTCTTTCAAAAGTTTTGTTTCCCATTCAAGTTTTCAAAATCAGAATTTAGCTGATATTTTGAGGTAAATGTATATAATTTCATGTTGCATGCATAGGTTTTCCTCATATTTAACACTTTATTATATGAATTTGCATGGGAATATTTAAGAATAGTTTATATTGATCATTTAAAAATGATTAAGAACTACTTAATGATATATGATAACTTTTTCATTTCATGCTTCGCTTTTCTTTGTCATACTCAAAATCTTTTGGATTCAATGTATATATTTGGATGATAAATTAAGACACTAGAAGATACTGAAAATGAAATGTCTTTTGATGTCACTATAAATAATTTTAAGAAAAGTTCACAGAAATAGTTAAAGCTTTTTATATGCACTGTTATTTATTCTTAATTTCTCAGGAAGTCATTTTTCCATCCATTTGCTTAATTAAATGGTCAGATGGCAAAAAAAAAAATGAGATTTAATAATACTAAGGCACCAAGATTATAAGATGTAGTGTCCGTTTATGTGGATGAGGGAGTGTGGGGGCAGGTTAAAGGTTATTTTCCCTTATCATCATCTTTGACATATATAGTTTGATTGATCAGTCTGTCCATATCTATCTATCTGCCTACATACATATACATGTTTATACATACACACACATGGGGTAGAGGGTGGAAGAGAAGAAGGAAGGGAAAGAGGTAGGGAAGGTGAGAGAGAGAGAGAGAGAGCGAGAGAGCGCAAAAGAACCTGAGAGAAAAGAAGTTGAGTAAGCAACAGGACCAATAGTGTCCCTGGTGGTGGTTGAGATAACACAGTTAACTGTACTGGCCCAGGTCAAGTATCAAACTTTTGTACATTGTAGTGAATACAGAATAGGATATGTGCAGGTTTCTGTCATCACTCTGGCAAATGTCTATCTCACATGGTACAGTTTTATACCAATGGAACCTATAGCTCTAAAAGGAAAAAATAAAACCAACAAATCTAGCATTCAGTACTACCCTATCATAAAGTAAGGAGGTCTAATTGAGCTATGTCTTTATATCCTGCTATTTGTACAAATAAAAGACTACATCTTGATGCAAAATAAACACAAAAGCACTGTTGTGACTATAACAGGGAGTCATATACTAATTTATATAATAAGTGGTTGTGCACGCTTTATTCAAGATTATGGCTGCAAGAAATGGCATGAATTGCTGGGTGTGTTTAATGCTGGATTATAGCAATTTGAAACATGTCAAACACATGGCTAATGCCTCATGCTTCACTCATTCTTGCGTAAACCTGCATAGCCACCATCCATTATACCCTTGGTAACAACACAATTCTGCAAGTAAATATTGTTACACTAAGTAACCTTTCAATTCAAGTTGTTTAGGAAGAGAAAATGCAATCTTGTGCAGTCAGTTCCAGTGTCAGTTTAATGTTTCAAAAGGGAAGTGGTGTAGAGAATAAGTATCTGTACAGTGACTTGCTTAAAAAAAAGGAAGAAAGAAAAAGGAAAGAAAAGAAAACTTAATGCAAGGGAGAAAAGTAGAACTGTATCCTTTGAGTGCAAATCTGAAGAGTTATATTCTGATGTGGCTGAAAAGTTATGTATGATGAAAGATTTAAAGGTTTAACTAACGGTTCAGACAAACATTAAGGCAACAACTCCCAATTTCACCTTTCCTTTTAATGATCTGGAATTTATTTTCACTGATTTTTGTAAAATGTTTGTGGTGGGATTGAGAAGAATGAATAATTTAGTTTGATGTGTTTGGGATCATGAGCACATCCACTTTGAAAGAATATGCTGAATTTGTAATTATTTAAAGTATACTTTAAAAGGTAAATAGCACCTCACATTGTACCAGACATATTTTCTCCTGTAGAGAATAGGTGTAGAGATGTCACTAGGAGAAACTTAGTGAATCCTGGAAAGCATCTTCATTATCCTTGAAGATACACCTCCTTTATAGTGGACATACGCCAAGCTCTCTTCTTTAGGTGATACATACATTATAATCATCTGATAACACAGTTGCCCTTCCTTTCGCGTATTAATGTTGGGTCAGATGCTTTTGTTTTGTAGAGGAAAAAGTACTGTCACTGTTACTGTTTTCTTAAGCGTGATGTTACTAACTCTTAGATGATTGAACTGAAAATGTGAATCACAGTTGATACTCTAGGGTTTTATAAAGTCAAAAATTCCACAAGGTATGATAAAATCCTCTGGATAATAGAAATTGGAAGTTATGTAGGTCTTTATCATTGTAATAAAGATTTAGACCTACGCCTCTGCTTGTTGGTTACTCTTAATTATTTGATGGCCTTGATTATAACACAATAATATATGCAGAATTCTTTAATTCATTCAATTAATGTCAATTCTGACATTAACTACACAAAGGTTAATATTAAATTCTGCATTTGTCTGCTATATTTGAAAATACAGGTTTTTTTTTTTTGTTAATTTTTGTTCTGCATGTTGCAAACTCCGTCCAGAGATAATAAGTATTTCAAATAAATTTGGATGAAGTAAAAACATACACATACATATATATTCAATATCTCTTGTCGAGAGTAAAATTTAAATGTAATATGTAGAAGTTATATCTATCTGTTTCTACAGTTGGAGAGGACCCAAATTATAATTTTCATATAAGTAGTAAAGGCAATCAGACCTTTTCTCTGAATATTTTAAACATTGTGCATGTAAAATTTATGCCTAATTTGAATACTTATTAGCTGCCTAATCTCAGAAAGGAGTATTAGCTTTGTTTTTTTTTCCTTATAAAATCCATCACTGTGTATCAGTTTTCATTTGTATGATTTTCCTGTGTTAGTGTTCAATAAGATGTTTAACAAAACCTATTTATTCATAAGCACATTTGGTTCAAAAGTTGTTTACTATAGTTCTGGCAACTGCTTCCTTTGTGATGTTGGGATTTTTGTTGTTGCTTTTTTTCTTTTTTTATCAGAACAGCTTTAAGTCGTATATGTAGTTTTTGTTATCCGAACTTGCTCTGCTAGCCCAGCTACTGGTGGTCTTTTATAAATCAGCAGGTCTTTCTTTCTTTAATTGACTTTTTAGAGTCACAGATATAATATAATGATTTAGGCTTTGATGAAAATACCTGTTAAAACTGTTAAATGATAACCATTGATTTTTAATAATTACAATATGAGGATGCAAGAAACTTCGGATGGGTATTTGTGTGTCTGTGTGTGTGTCTGTGTGTGTGTGTGTCTCTGTGTGTGTGTCCATGATCACGTTTTGTAAGGATCTGGGAAGAAGGTTTCTCCATGACATGAAAAGATATTAAGCCTACATTTGCTCTGTAATAAAAGCATTAAAAATTTTTAACAGACCGAAGTCTTAAAATATGACCAAGTTTAAAATAGAGAAATCACATGGCAACACAAAATTAGATTGAGTGATAAGTTTAACGTCCTTCTTTACTTTAGGCTAAGTCCCCTGTCTGTCTTACTGTTAAAGCCACAGCACAGCCAGGTTGTTTCTGAAATTCTGTCCGTAGAAGTAAAACAGAGAAGTGCATGTAGTAGGTTATCGCATGGGATTCAGATATCTTTGAGAGCCAAAACTAATCTTTCTAAACCACAGATTCAAGATGTCCTGTGAAATTCTGGTTTGTAAGAGCACATTGGTTCTTTATTTACTGCAAGGATTTCCACTGATCTTGGCAGGACATCTCATTGCTATCCTGAAAGTACAGTATATTTATGCAGTGAAAATGATAAAACATTTATTACTGTAGAGAAGGTAATATGCATAATTTATGCTGTTTTTAGCACAATCATTAGTGATATTCTTGATAGATTTTATTTCCAGCTTTCATATCTAATACATGCCTGGAAAATTAATTTTATATATACTTTCATTTATTTGCCTATGTTAAAATTGAGTTTTAAGTCATCTTCAAGTGAACAGTTTGATTGCTGCTCATGCATAAGCTTAATTACTTCCCAGGAAGGACAGTATTAAATGTTTTAAATGTCAGAAAAATAAATGAATATGAGCTGTTTGATTAAAAAAATAGGCAATATCTGACGTGTTTGCAGCAGGAGCTTTTTCTTAAAATGCCTCCAAGGCAAAATTTTATTTAGTCACAAAAAAAAAGAAACCCATTATACTATTTATCATTGGTTGATACCATATGATTTGTAACACCCTTACAAAATTTTAATTTTGTATGATTAGCTGTGCATCATTAAACAACAGCCTTGCATAAGATGTGCTGTAAAAATCTGACAGAATCAAGATAGTGAATATTTAAAATAAGGCTGTATAGTCATCCATGGTTGTCAAAGGTAGATAATAGGAAACATAGAACAGAGTGTGCAATCGTGCCTTCATTTAAACTGGTTTTATAGGTAGACTTTAAAATGTGGTCGTTCATAAATGCTACTGACCATGCTATATGCATGGTATGTTACTTTGGCTGTTAAATGTAGCCACACAAAAACTGCTTATAGAAACCATAATTTCAGTGATTAGTATCTGGATGAAAGCTGAATTTGTATTGCTTTTCTTGGTAAATGACTATTCAAGGCGTTTTTTTTTTTTTTTTTTTTTTTTTTTTTTTTTTTTCCTAAAGATGCTGTCTCTGTAATTGGCAGAGAGGGACATCTTGATAATGGAAGTGTGAAGGTGTAACGTGCGTTAATTGATACTTCTTAATCACTTTTAGGTATTAAGTCATGATGCAGGAATCTGCGACAGAGACAATAAGCAACAGTTCAATGAATCAAAATGGAATGAGCACTCTAAGCAGCCAATTAGATGCTGGCAGCAGAGATGGAAGATCAAGTGGGGACACCAGCTCTGAAGTAAGCACAGTAGAACTGCTGCATCTGCAACAACAGCAGGTAAGTTTTGTTTTCTTCCGGGATTCCTTGAAACAAATAAGCCTTGAATGTTCTTGAATGTGAAAAATGTATTCCTAGCAAATTGAGCATGTTGTGTTAAGCTAAAGGATGCTGAGAATTTCTTACGATTTGGAACATGACTGAAGTGTCAGGAAAGATAGGATTTTCATATTAGTTACGTCATACCAGCACCAGAATGCCCTTCAGGTGTCAAACTATTAATTAAGTTCGCAGGGGGTGATTTTGGGAAGGTTCTGTAAAGCTTTGTAACAAATATTTTATAGCTTCTGGTTTACTGGCTAATATTGCACTGCAGAACGTGGTACTTCGTTTTCCACCAGAGGGCCACATTACTTGATACTTGCTTCTACAATGAATTTCTTCCAAGTCTAAGCTAAGGTGAAAAGGACCACAAGGACTTTTCATAACACAGATGCTTGCCTGTGATAGCTGCAAATATTAGCTATTAATTAGTAGAAATTGGCTGAGAGATTGTGAACCGTGTAAACACTCTGAACATCTATGTTGCTTTTCTGGAAAACTCACTCCAAGATATTTTGAGTACACATATTTCGATAACATTGAAGAGCACTTTTTTATTTTCTGCTAGTGGCTCATAAAACGCAGTTCTCTTTAAATCTGGAAAAGTAAACAACTGCCCAGTAAAGGCACATATTTAAGTAGTCTGTTATTCTTCTTAGATAATAGATTCATTTTTCCCAATTTTGTTTGTCAATGAAATATTCTTTTCAGCCAAAGAATAGCCACTCCATTCTTCACTGATTCAACTCTGCGGAAATAGTGACAGAGAACAGAAAGCTTTCAAAGCATATACTTATATTAGGCCAAAATGAATACACCTGTTTGACAATAAGATTATATTTTATTTGATTTAAAATAAGGGTTATTTCTTTAAAATTCTGGATTGCATTCAGACTAAGTGTAAAAAAAAAAGTTAAAGCAAATGCCCACAATAGAGTAAAATTTAATAGAATCATTATTTTAAATAATACCAGTATTTCGCAAGTTATCCTGGAGTATATGTGCTGAATAATGTCTTAACCTTTAGGCATTGTTTTTGAGAGTAATCTTTTAAGAGAACTAGACATAACACTTTGAATAGGTTCCCTATTATTTTGGAATTGTCTCTTTTCACAAACAGTAATCATTAGGAAGATAATTTTTATTTCGTTTTAAAATATTTTTTAACCATCATAGGAATTCAATGTCTACCAAACTCCCAGGTTTAGCCTGTTTTACAAATTACCTTAAATAAATGCAGTTTTCGGGACAGCCCTTTTCTCCCTTTCATGTATTTACAGGAAACATACCACTGGAGTGCTATCAAATTCCTACTGACTCCCCTAACTAAGAGTCCTAAGAATTTATAGCCAGATTCTATTTTATGTGAGAATATAGTAGAATGCATTTATAAAAACACGTGAAATCAACAACAGAAAATGAACATTGCAGTTTAGTACTAATAGACAATACTGTTCTGAAGGGAGATACAAAGAAATAACTTTCTTTTTCTTCAAAGCTCTGATTAGATCTTAAAAAGAAAACAGAGTCAAATCATGGCTATGCTTTATAGCACTCCAAAGTCAATTTATGATAAATCTGTAAGGCGTGTTTATAACCTGAGTCTGAAGTTTACTTGGTCTATCAGTTTGTTGGTATAAACATAAACAAGAGTAAATACAAAAAGTTATGTCCTTATGATAACCTAGAAACTTTAGTCATGTACTGCATGTTAGTGGAGTGACTTCTAGAAGTGATTTAGCACAATGGGTATAGTAGGTGTCTACAAAAGACACTTTAGGAAGTGTCTCCAGGAAGATATGTAATAATTTGATAAATAAACATTCAAAAACCTTTGTAAATGTCTCTTCCCTTGGTTACGTTTTTACTATGTTAATATAGGTAGAAACTTAAGGTTATTGAATTTTTGTCCTTCTGTGAATGTATTTTAGAATGGCTCTTTAAGTTCATTAAAGATTGGAACGTCTTTTCTAGAAAATTAATACACTTATTGCTTCTATTTCTAACATATTCGATATGTTTCAGAAAAAAATAAAAACTATGGGGAAAATATTAAAACAAATTCATAAGTGACATAATTTTAAAAATTTGTCTTTACTTGGTATTATTTAAAGGTAAAGTTTTGAACAAAGACATTACTTCTTGTAAGTAAAATGAACTCATCATTGTTGTCTGAGGTCTCTTGTTGGAAATATAATTTAGCAGGCAGTGAGTGATGCAAGCAAAATAAAATTTTGTTTGCCTTGAACTTCTGGCAGTGTGGTCTGTTTTGAGAAGAGCACATTTACCT